TTGTAAAAAGCAAAAGAAAATGATAGAAACTTCAAAATTTAAAATCCTTCGAGAGGTAGTTATGTTACTACATCTACTAGTTAGAAAAATTTAAAAACTTAAATTTGGACATGTTTTTCAAAAAATGTAGGGAAAATGTAAAACGGCTATAACTTTTGCATACGATGTCGGAAAAAAACGTATAATATATCAAAATGTTCAGAACGAAAATCCGCATCCGATGGAGACCACCTATGGCCTGTTTGCAAATTTTTAGAATCCTCAAATTCTAAAAGGAAAAAAAGTTATGCTCAAATTTCAGTTTTTTTGAATTTTTGTTAAATCTGGTCAAACTATGGTCAAACTACTTATTCAAGAAGTATTAGTGTTACTAAATAATTATTCAAGAATATTAGTGTTACTAAATAAGTATTTCAGTTTTTTTAAATTTTGGTAAACTATGGTCAAACTGTGGTCAAACTACTTATTCAAGAAATATTAGTGTTACTAAATAATTATTGATTTTTAGAACAATAGTTTCAAACTCAAACAGTAAAATGTGTGACTTCGTGCTCAAGCTAAATTCCTGAGGGTTAATAGGATTGCCATCTTACTATTGTGAGGAAAACAACAAGTGCAGACTTGGAAATGAGGGAGAATAGAACCCAGAAGTTAAGCGTGCTCAGGCTGAAGTAGTGAGAGGATGGGTGACCGTTCGAGAAGTTAGATGATTTGGAATGATGAGGGGTGATTAGAGATTAAAGGTTAAATTGAGCAGTGATGAGGGGTGATTAGAGATTAGAGATTAAAATAATTCAGAAATTTGAAATTCAAAAAAATCATAAAATATTCTTTAGGTACCGGTTGGTGTTACCAACCGGGACTAAAGGTGGACCTCCAAAACCGAAACTAAAGGCCCTTATGAACCGGGACTAAAGGTCCTTTTTCTACTAGTGCACCCATCAGCACCGGCCCTGTAGGCAGACTCCGTGAGGTGGAAACCATCCCATTGAAGGGCCTGAGATGGATCTGCACACGCCATCACACCTGGCCACCCGCACTCCGAGTTGAAGTCATAGTTATAAGGAGGTCCTCCGGCACCACAACAGGTGAGGAGGGTTGTGTTGCTGTTCAGTCCTGCGAGATACCATGGGGAGATTGAAAGGTTACATCTTTGCTCTTGTGATGCTACTTTAATTTTGAACTGCGAAAGAACTAAATTAATCAGGAAGGGCCAACTCACCAAAATGCCCCGGCATATCTAGACATGCAAGGACGGGTCGGTAGTACTCAGCGGCAATGATCTTCGCATGGGGGTACTTGTGCCGGAGCAGTTTGATCCGCTGGCGGAGGAGAGAGTTGTGGTAGCGCCCCAGCCTGTTCGCACTCTTCAGGCATCCGTTCCGATAGTAATCCACCTTGTTTGGGCTAGCAAGCTTTGTGAGCACTGTGGGTACGCAGCCAAGTGGGAAGATGCCCCCCTTTGTGAGCACGGCGGCACGAAAGGCAGACCCAGAGCTTCGGCTGCAAAATGAAGCAGCGATTAATTATATGTAGTCTATCTCCCTCTCTTTCTCCTTTTAGGCAGCAAGATTAACAGTAGTTGAACAAGTTTTTTTTTTGTTGCAAACAGTAGTTTTTTTTTTTGCGGGGTACTTTGCAAACAGTAGTTGAACAAGTCTGGTAGTGCATTTCTGGTTACCGATGAAGTCCAGCACAAGGCGGCCGTCGGTGGCACGTCCGGTGGGGTGGCCGAAGAAGGTCTCGCTGTAGGGGAGGTTGTTGAGTACTAGACCCGGAAGGACGGGATCAGCCCACATGACCAAATTACCGGTGTCGGCGAAGGAGTCACCGAAGCTGATTATGGATGTGAAACGGCTCCGGCTGCCACTGGAGTAGGCACCGCGGAAGTACGCTAGGATGAAGAGCAAGAGGAGCGCTGCGTGAGGTGGACTCATACTTGGTTGCTTGCGCTGCTTCCTACTTGTCAGTTGGGGCTTCCATGCTTTGGTCTCCAAATGCTATATATAAGCAAGCATACCGTGCTTGACAAGGCAAGGATAAGGTTAATTATAATGCACATATAATATGATGATTTTCCAGTCAACCAAATGTGTGTTTGGTGGGCATTTTCTACGAATGTACAGGTATATCTTCTTACTAACTGACTCATCAAGTTGGCACTTACTATTTAAGAAAATATGAGTTGTAGATTGTGAGATTTGAGTAGTGACTATGCACCCAAATTCTCTTTATGACTAGAACAAATGTAACAGTTTAAATGATTTCATTGTAGTTTTGGCCCCTTTTCGAGTAGCTTTTTGCATTACTACGTAACCAGTGACATCTTATCAACAGTTAGAACTACAAAGTGAAGTATCATGGAAATTTACAACTAGGAAGTGGACCATTTCGGGGAGTGACTTTCTCAGCAAAAAAAAAAGCAGGGCCACTTTGACGCAAAGAGGAATTGTGTGGCGTATAAAACGTGATCATTTTCTATGCTTTTCTTTAGAATAAATTTTGCTTTGTGAGGAACAACTTATATTCCGGCCCACACTAAAACTATGCAGGCCTTCTCCCTCCCTCCCTCCCTCCCTCTCTCTCTCTCTCTCTCTCTCTCTCTCTCTCTCTGATAACAAATTTAACAATTTAAATAATTCCACTGTAGTTTTGGTCTTCCTTGAAAATGGGTAGCATTTTTTGCTTTATTACGTAGCTAATTAATGACACCTTGATGAAAATCAAAACCTAGAAAGTGGAATACCATTGAAAATTAAAACTAGGGAGTAGACTAGTTCATAAGTCTGACTTGCTCAGCAAGAAATAGAAGCAGGGTTGAGTTGTGCGAAAAGAGGAAATTGTCGTTATTGTGTACACCTTGAATGCAAAATATGATGAAATGTGTTAATTTGCCACAATTTGTCATTCATGTGACTATTATATACCACCCCACACCAACTTGATAGTAATATCGTTAACACGACTGAATATGCACCCGCATTTGGTTGAACGTCCTATTACCAGATTAGCCATTCACAGATATTGCGTTAAAATAAGCTCTCCACCAATTACTATTCATTTTTACGCGATGACAGTTTTGGGGTTTAAACTACTTACAAAATTTTAAATTTGATTTTTTTATTAAATAGATCCATGGTTGAGAGAGAATGAAAGAGTGCCGAGTAGGATCTGGATATGAAATGTAGGTGAAAAAGATGCACAAACTGGACAAGAAATATTTACCTACTATAGGGTCTACGCATTGGTAACAATCCCGTTCGATCTCACTGTTGATCAAATAGGCCATATGAGATTGAATCCAAATGCATAATGCTACCGCGTCCATCACATTTTTTTCTTACGAAGGGCGAAAATATGTGCTTATGAAAAAAATATTAATAGGCCAGCCGGTTTACTTAATTTGTTAAATCAGTTAGTGTGTTCTTCTTTTTATTTTATTTTCTGGAGTAATACATGTTGTTTTCCTGCTTATTTTGGAAAATAACAGATGGAATCAGTCACGGGCGCGGCGTGCGCCACGCTTCTTCGCCGCTAGTACTAAAACAAGAGGCCAAGAGGCTACAACATTCAGACACATTAGGCTAAATAATCTCATGCACTAATTATCTAGTGGATCCTAGTTCTAACGTACGACCAGACGTGAAAACGATCCTTACATGTTTGCCATCAGGTTTGTTGTAGTATTAGAATAAGAATGCACAGCTCACAGAAGTTTTTTGACCCGAAAGGGCAGGAGCTCTGTCATTGCATTATAGAGGAGAGAAACAAATGTACATGGGAGTGATCAGACAGGGGCTGATCAGCCCCAAGGATTACATGGGATTATTCCCGAAAGGCCTCCTCCAAGAGGCCGACATCATCTTTAACCATTTGCAACAAAACTGGAGGTTGTGTACTAGTGGCCTGGAAGACACGGCGATTTCGTTCCTTCCATAAGTTCCAGGCCATATACATCGCAAACCTAACCTGGGTTCTCTTGATTTCCTTGGGCCCAACTGAATTCAGCTTGCGCCACCACATATTGATGGAGGTTGCAGTAAGAGCAATATCAGCCATGCGCTGGTGAATACTTCTAGCAGAGAACCAGAGTTCCTTCATACGGACAACGGAGAAGGAGGTGTAGCGCAGTTTCTGGCGCTTGGTCGCAGAGGGGGCAGATAGGATTATGAGGCCACTATCGGCGTGATAGCCTTTCTGTTGTCCAATTTCTGTTTTGAAGCGGGAGCCAAATGTAGAATTTAACTTTCCCTTCGGTCTTTGCCTTCCAAACCACTTCTAGCTGCTGTTGTGGGATTCGGCCAATGAATTGAGCTTCATAAGCAGATTTAGCGGTGTAGTTTCCATTGTTGGAGCGCTTCCAGACTATTGAGTCATGGGAGGTTGAAAGTTGTATTGCCTGCATCAATTCCCAAAGCTTTATGAACTGTAAGATTTGGGTCTCTGTTGACATTCTTTGGATTCCGCGCATCCATCTTTCCCCAGCAAGAGCCTCAGCCACCTTCAAAATTTTTTCTCCAGGCCAATGAGAAGAGCTCTGGTGCAATATCTTTAGGGGCATTACCCTGCAGCCATCTATCATGCCAAAAAAGTGCAGTTTGTCCATTACCAATGGTAATCTCTGTGCAAGCCGCAAAGAGTTTTCTATCTATTTGGTCACATGGTACTGGAGTTCCTTTCCATGGACGTTGCAGTGAGCCCCACTCATACCAAAGCCACCGAAGACGTAGCGATCTGCTAAAGAGGGCAATGTCTTTGATCCCTAGGCCTCCAAGTTTTTTTTGGCGAACAACATTGTTTCCAGTTGACCATACATTTTCCTTCATGTGCCTCCTCTTCTCCAGCCCAGAGAAAATTTCTTCTACTCTTGTCCAGTTTTTTAACTGCCCACTTGTCCGCAGCAAAGCAAGTCAGGTAATAGGTTGCGATGGCCGTCAAAACAGAGTTTACCAAATCCAACCTCCCTGCTCTATTCATGAGTTTGCCCTTCCATGGTTTAATTCTTGCACTGGCTTTGTCCAGAATCGGCTGAATTTTAGCCCTTCTTGGCTTCCTAGTGTTTAGGAGCAAACCCAGGTATCGACAGGGTAGGTTTCCTTCAGCACCTCCAAACTCCATTAGAATCTCTGCGTGCTCAGGGTCTGTGCATCTTATTTTGTATGCAACACACTTGCCAAGATTGATCATTAAACCTGAGATCTCCCCAAACCTTATCAGGATCTTCTGCGCGGCTTCAACTTCTCTTCTAATGGGGTTTATGAACAGGGCAGCGTCATCGGCATATAGGCTGGTCCTAATCCCCACTTATTTTTGCCTTATGGGTGATAAAATTCCAATATTTGTGGCTTTCGAGAACATACGCTGCGGCTCCATAGCAAGTATGAACAACATGGGGGGGAGTGGATCGCCTTGCCTCAACCCCTGGTGATGGTAGAATGGATCTCCGGGGCTGCCGTTGAGCATGACACGAGAGGAGGAGGAGGACAGCATGATCGCCATCAGATCCATCCAGCGTTGGCCAAACCCAAATCCTCTCATGACATCAAACAAATATCCCCAATGCACCGAGTCGAACGCTTTGGCAATATCCAATTTTAGGAAGACTAGTGGAAGCCTTTTGGAGTGAGCTTCCTTTATTACATTCTGCACATATAGGAAGTTGTCTTGGATACGACGACCCTTGATGAAGGCACTCTGGCTGGCAGAAATCATTTTTGGGAGCTCCGGGGCGAGACGATTTGCCAAAATTTTACAAGTGATCTTCCCAATGCTGTGCATCAGACTGATTGGCCTGAACTCGGACGCGAGTGCAGCGCCGTCCTTCTTCGGCAAGCACGATGTGTGCCGTGTTCAGAAGGTACCAATTATCTCCTCGAAGGCTATGGAGCTGGTTTATGGCCATCAACAGATCATCTTTAGTTATGCTCCAACATTTTTTGAAGAAGCCACCAATAAAACCATCAGGACCTGGAGCTTTTTCGGCGTGCATCTCAAAAACTGCAGTTTTAAGCTCATCCATAGTGAAGCTGCCCTCAAGGTGCTGGAGGTTGAGTGTGGGCATTTCCAAAAAGTTCCGTTTATTGCGTGGCTGCGATG